CGAATTTGTAACGGATCTCACATCGGAGTTGTTTCTAGTAACATTGCGCCGCTTCATAGGAAGGAGAGAAAATTGCATGCAATTATACTCAGATAACGCGACTAATTTTACAGGAGCGGCAAGAGAATTAGTAGAACTTTATAATTTATTAAAGGAGAAGCAAAGAACTATACAAATAGCGCTGGCCATTCGAAAGATCGAATTTTTGTTCCTACGAAAGCATCCAGTTTTGATAGCCTTTGGGAGGCTAATATTAAAAGCATGAAGAAGCATTTCTAAGCTGTAACTCAAGGTCTCGTACTGACATTCGAAGAATGTTATATCTTTCTTGTGGGAATTGAAGCTGTTCTAAATTCAAGACCCTTAATCCCGATCTCAGACGACACTCAGGAATTATTTGCTTAACTTTATATCACTTTCATGTTGAGGTCACGCATTCTTATGTGTAGAGTGGCCATTCTCTCATCGATACTTTCGGTTCACTCTCTTGTCGGGAATCCTCTTGGCCGAGAATAGAGTAATAAAATTAACGGCTAATGTTTTGCTCAGTGAAATAATTAAGATATAATATTAGAATGATATCCTGACCTGATGCGCTCCTGCGGCTTCTAGTCGGGCGTCCGCTCTCCGTTCTCTAATTTCTTGATCCGCTCCAGCCTTCCACTCTCGATTGAATGAAGTTTTCTGAAATTCGAGTCAGTCACTGATATTCGCCGCTAAATACCGAAAATTGCACGATAATTCGCGAATGCGCGCAGCGCAAATACAGAACCGCTTTTTCTCCGCTATGGGAGAACGCAGGCTCCAAAAAGTTTACCGCGGTCCAGACATTTCGCCCCTGTGACGGATGGACCAGAACGACATCACGTCACAATATATATATATTTTTATATATAATAAAATTAACAATTATAATATTTCCAGTTTATAAATTTTTATTAAATAATTGCTTAAGTTACATTTATTAGAACTACAGCTTTTGATACGAATTAAATGATATAATGATACTACAGAAAGCACGTGTAAAACAAAGATAAGCGATTTCTAGAGATTTTATTTATGCATGTTTAATATATAATGTTTTAATATATAATGTTTTAATATATAATGTTTTAATATATAATGTTCTAATATATAATGTTCTAATATATAATGCTTTAATATATAATGCTTTAATATATAATGCTTTAATATATAATGTTTAATATATAATACTTAATATATAATACTTTATATATAATGTTCTAATATAACGATTTAGTAATCAAAGAAATATAATCGATCAAACTAGCCAGAAATTTGATTTATTAGTACGACGTTTCGATCATATGGTTGTGGTCCTTATCAAGTATACACTGGAGAGATTATAAATGATTACTAAATTAGTTAACGGTTTAAATATATAGTACGCTCAACGAATTAAAATATAACAATTTAATTATACCGATAATAAAAATCAGGAGACCGGCATGGATGATAATCTTGTAAATTGCACAAGTCACTTTAAACAAAAACGTTGTTTTAACTAAATTTGAATTCGAGAAAGAAATTAATGCGTCTGTGAGAGACTTCGTCAAGAGACTAAACAATAACGATACGAAAAACGAACTACGTGACCTTTATTACTTTATCGTAAATATTGTTTAAACTATCCGTATCTTTCTGTAGGTTGATTAAATTATTAAATTTCTTGATGAAAAACATCTCAGCAATTTCTCTCTTTCGTACATATTTTTCATTATGCAAGATATTGGGTTTCAACCAGTCGAAATCGTGTCTGGATTCCAATCTATGTTTGCTAATGACCGAGTGATTAGATTCGTGTAGCTTTATATTAGTACAATGTTCTTGTAACGATTTAGTATATAACGATTTAATATATGACGATTTAATATATATCGATTAAATATATAACGATTGAATATATAATGATTTAATGCGTAAACGATCTGTAAAAACGACCCGTAAAACGACCTGTAAACGATCTGTAAACGATCTGTAAACGATCTGTAAACGACCTGTAAAACGACCTGTGAAACGACCTGTAAAAAGAAGCGGCAAAAAAAAATTCATATACTCAAACCGACGCGTTCGTTTGTTTCGCGTATACGCGACAATTTTTATTCTTTAGAAGAATTTAATAATTTTAAATTTCAAAACGACCTTTGAAACGACCTGTGAAACGACCTGTATATTAAATACAGCGGTGTCATGCAGGAAACATAAGAACCGTGAGGGTAACGCTCGCTACATGCTATCATATGGAAGTTGTAGAACTTATATATCAAATATCGGTGTTACGCAGGAAGCGTAAGAACCGTGAGGACAACACACGCTACATGCAATCATATAGAAGTTGCAGTTACATTCCGTCATACAGAAGTTGACGGATCTATAAAACGACCCATAAAACCTAGATAGCAAGATGATGTCTCCAGACGTCTTAATGATGTACAATGACATCATTAAAATGTTAATAAGATGTCATTTGACGTCACTCTGCTACCTGGGAAGTGACTTATAAATGACCTATAAATGATCTATAAAAGTGACTTATGAATAACCTATAGATGACCGTGTAACCGAAAGAATGCACCGACACATCCGTTGATCAAAGATTGCCTGGAACGCGCTATTAATAAAAACAAAATCGATTCTAATTCAAGCGTTCGCGGAAGAGAACTAAGATGTGAGGTAGCGAACAATATGAAATGAATAAGTCGAATGAAATCGAGTTCTATCGCTCCCAGATCGGCAGTGGTGGACAAAATCCGAAGAAGCGTTCAAACGACGCGCGCAGGGGGGGGGGCGATGCGGGCGGAGATCGGGAGAGAGGGAAGACGCTGGTCTTCGGCGCTGTCTTTCGGCGCCGTTCTTCAGCGTTGTCCTTCAACGTCGAGATCGACAAGACGTCTGAAATATATAAAGCGTCGTATTAATAGTTCGTATCGAGATATGCGAAACGAAAGAGCAGCGCGTTAGACGAAAAGAGATCCGTACTTAATACTCGCTGTCGCCCGTGTGGACGGAGCTCGTTTTTTCGATCGAGCTCGCGTCGCCGTACCATATTTCCACGGGAGAATCGTCGTCGTAGAAATCTTCGGTTTTGAATGTGTGATCCGAGACGAGCGGCTCCATGTCGAACAATCTTCTCAACCGAAATATGTCTGCGTAGATGTTAGGTGAGCGCTTCTCCCATTTCTTATAGGACGGTCGGTCACACCATAGCGAGTCCAAGAATCGACGTTGCTTCAGTCTTGCCTGTCGTATCCAATGCCGGCGGCGTATGTTTACGAACCCTCTGATCTCCACCTCTTTCTCGAACTGCGAAAAATGTCGCGCGATCAACGACCGTCGTATTTATCCTCGAAGGAGAGCGAAAGAATAAGGAACGACAATGATGAATGGGTACTTACGTTCCACGTTACTGCTATGTTGAGGATCGCATCCATGAGATTCCTGATGTATTTTATTTTCCAAACGCACATCCACGCCGTGAATATACATCCGTGGAGCCTTCTTCGCAATCTCGAAATCTCATCGTCACTCATTGTTCGCGCGAAAAAAATAGCTCTGAGAATGAATACTGAGTGCACTGGGAACACTGGGAATACTGGGAACACTTAGAATATTAGGCGCACTTAATAGCGCGATCGCGAAACTCATTCTCAGGAAAACACAGTCTCTCGGTGATATACCTGCGATATTACTATCGCCGAATCGTTATGATTCCGTCGAACGCTAACGCGATAATTTAACGCGGTATGAAAAAAATCGCGCGACGCGGAAATATAACGAGGTAATTCAATGAGGCGCGATAAATTCTCGATTGCTTCGGAGGAAGTGCCGGAAAATGCGTTTAACCGCGTACGCATTTAATCGCGTACGCGCGATACGAGTTAACGTTTATTCGCTAATTAATATTATTTTAATATTATTCTAATATTATTTTTCTTAGTATTAATATTATTTTCCTTAGTATTAATATTATTTTTCTAAGTATTAATATTATTTTTCTTAGTATTAATATTATTTTTCTAAGTATTAATAATAAGTATTAATAATACATTTCTAGGTAGGCGATAAGTCGGCGCGCGCGAGATAAAAAAGTTAGTCGATAAGAGTACGCGCAAAACTAATCTACGATGCGGGAAACGTGCGAGGCGTGCGAATCATCGCGCGATGCGTCTCTGTTCACATGTCGCGCAATTGATCGCGTCTCTCCAACCATCAGTTGTGCAGTTTGCACACGTTTTCCAAGGCGCAATTCTTCGTGTGATAGCCGCAGCGATAGACGCGAATCGAGGCTAGCGTTCGCAGGGGTCCGATATCCTCGTAATCGGCGTCCATGGTCTCGATCGTCAGGTCGCGCTGCTCCGCGACCTCTCCCGCGATGTCGGTCAGCCACTTCTTCTTCTCGTGAGCCTTGACGTAGATCGTCACCGCGGCGTTCGACTCGATCCCTCGATGCGTGATATATCGCGTCGCGAACAATCTGCTTCGCGTGCCTATACTCCACATATCCAGTGGAATTCGTGATGATTCAGAGTCAGCCAACAGGCCTGCGACTTCTCGCTCTTCGTCAGCAGATTCCACGACATCGGCGCGCAAAAGACATGATGTGTCAGATCTCTGCCGTTCGCGAGTATCGCCATCTTCTTCGTCACGAATCGCTCGTTGACGACGAAGCCCTGCAGATCGACGAAGATCGGCGGGGCGATATCGTCCGTGATCGTCGTCGTCGTAGCGGTCATAGTCGAGAGAGACTGACGTTTATTCGCGTCTCTCTCCTCTTCGCGGTTTCGAGCTTCCTCTCTCTCCCACCATTCGACGCGTCATCTTACAGAATCTTATGCACGATGTTCGTCAGCGGATTGTACTCCACCACGCGATCGTGAATTATTAGACAGTGGTGTTAAAAGGAACGTTGTCCTTGCAGTCGAATTCCAGACGAACGTCCACAGTGGCGCTCTTAACCGCTTCGTTTTGGCGGGAACAATTTATCCCCACGAGCGGACCGCAGTATAGAAATTGTTGATAGTCAGGAGCGTCTCGTCGCTCGCGAATCCGTAATACGTTCGTCGAAATCTCGCATAGGCGTCATACAGTACGGCGATCTTGTTCTTATCGAAGTCCAAATTCATATCGTCGTACGGATAGAAGTCGGAATTGAGATACAACTTTACGTTGGTCAGATTGCACGCGTCGAATCTGGAAGCGTCCTGCGACAGAACGTTCTTCCTTCCGGTCTGCAACGCGAAGATGACGTAACGCGGTTTCTCGAGCTGCGTGGGCGCTTTTACGGTCCACGAGTGTTTGGTCGTGCTCTGTAGGATCGGAAACTCGTAGAGATCCCACGAGCGAAAGGGCGCGCTCAGATATCTACCGCTGTTCAACGTGCGCAACAGCGATAATTTATTGACGTCATTCAACACCACGTGCGGCACGCGCCACTGTATCTTCGACTCTCGGCTGGTATTCCTCGCGCGATATCAGACAATTGTTGTCGTTTCGCGCTCTTATCAGAATCAGGTCGTAACGCGCGTTGATGACGACGCGCCTGTAATCCTCGCAGAAACCTAGCAGCGTGACTAGAGGAACGCAGAAGTTGAAGTCGCCCGTCGACGCGACGCTGCTCGGTCCAATCGCGAGATCCCATCCGGCGTTCTTGCCTCGTTCGGCCATCAACGACGCGTAATTCTTGATCGTGCTCGTTATTCCGACGTTGCGATTACGATCAACTCTCCACGCCGTCGAGCTCGTAACGTATCTTCTCGAACATAAAGGCGACGCAGTTGATCACGAGCCACGCCGGCGTCGAGGACACGGACGGCTCCTTAAAGGCTGAACCCGGCTTACCCGATTCGCCGCTCGACGCGGGCGGCGGCGGATTATTCCTCGTATGTAGTTTACCTTCGACGTAGAGAAAACTCTCGCACGGCAGCGTATAGGTCCTGCTGTTGTATGGGTATTCGTATCTCGTCGCTGCGAAAGTGGTGTTGGCGTACGGATTGTACGTGTGACTCTCGATATTCACGATGCGATCGTCGAAGACGGGTTCCCCGCCGATGCTCAAAATTTCCCTCATGTCGTCGAACTATCGCGCGGCTCTCGGTACGACGAAACCCATGGATCGCAGAAAAGCTGCGTTGGCGGCGGACAATCCTCCGACGCTCCTCTCCCTCGAGCGCGCGACTCAAGTTCCCGCGACGCGATCGCAGCCACCGCCGCCGCTGCCGCGATGCGACGTCGTGACGTTAGATTCGCGCACGACGAGCACCGCCCCGTTCCTTCCCCTCGACCTCGTATCTCGCCGCGTGCTCTCTATCATCTGCGTGCAATCAAATCGAGATCTCCTCGCCGCGGAAATCGATCAATCGACCGTCCTGATCGACGACGCGCAACGATACGTCGGTCATGAGTCGCGCGATGACCGGCAGATAAATGATCTGCCTTGGGATCTCCGACACTTTACATCCTGGCGGAACGTTCGGCGCGAATTCGTGCATCGCGTGGGCGGATCTCCCGTTCACGTACCCGTCGTCAGGTTGCACTCCACGCGAATCGTGTTAACCGCGATAATGCTCACGGGCTTGTCGAACGCGTACCATTTGTTCGGCCGCAATACGCGAGATTGGGAGAAACCTAATAACGATTCGATATTGTTTGGTTTGTTGAAATTAATTCGGTACGCGCATTTGATTTCACTTCTCAAGGTATTGTCGTTACCACGTAGCGCCGGAACGCGATCGCCGTCCCCGCTGCTCTCGTCCTCCGCGTCCTTGATGTCATACAGATATTCGTCGTCGTCGCTGGAACCATCGCTGCCGTCTCTCCCTCCGGTACTCGCGCTCGGCGGTCGTCGCCGTTTTCGAAGAATCACGGCTCTCAAATACGCGCTTATGTCCCATAGCTCGTAGGATCCGATTAGGATCGTCATCGTCTCGTCGTTGTTGTCGAAGTAAAATTTATTGTTCGAGGAATTCACGTTCGGAATCGTGTTGTAGGTCTCGAAATTGGTCAGGCCGAGCTCGTAATCGTCGTCGCTCAGATCGAGGGGCGGAAAGTAACTCGCCGTGAGAACGTTGCTTCTTTCGGTCAGCGTGAGAATCAGCGAAATGATGGCGCGCGCACAATCGCCGTTAGAGATCGAAGGGCTTCCTCTTTCCTCCTCCCCAATCGACTCGTCGAAGGAAGCGCAGGCACAATTGTCCGCAGACGCTCTGATCGTACATCTGCTGAGAGTCGCGATTGTACGCGATGTCGCGTCCGAGATAGTGCACGAGTTCCCGCGGCGGCCGAAGATTGCCGAAGGCGTCGAAGTAGATAGCGTCTTATCCCCTTTTAGCGTACGCCACCCAATGCGTGCCCGGCCCCGAGGCGTCGTCCAGGTTCACGATACCGCTCTCGTCGCGACGAACTCGCGCCGGCAACGCATCGCACATGAACACGCCTCTGAAGTGACGCACGCGAGCGCGCGCGGCAGCGCTATTCAATTGTTCGTTTGTCGTGACGTCAATCGGAGCTACGACGTCGTCTAACGCGCGCGGAGGCGCGACTTTTTTTTCCTCCTCCTAACTGTTTGTCCGCCTCGTCTCGCGATGCTTCCGCCGCGCTTGTAAGCCGCGAGATACAAACCGCGACCCTTCATCGCTCGATTGTGTCGCTGCAGCTCCTCCAATTGTCGACGCGCGGCCTTACCGTCGTTCACCATCTTCGCCACGCCGGCCGCTCCGCCGATCCTAAAGCTCGAAGCGCCGGCAACAGCGGCAGGAAGCCGACGCGTTTCGCCGCGGGAAGAACTCGTCTTTTCGTCGTCTTCCTCCTCGTCGAGGTCATTCTCCTCTTGCCGCCGCCGCCGCCGTTCTTCCTCGCGTCTCTTCGCGCTCCGATCATACACATTCCTAGTTTCGTCTTCGCCTTCATAGCCGCCTATACGGCCGACGCCGCTATTCCTTCGCCGAGAGTCGAATCTCCGGCCCGGATACGCTCGAACGCTCTCGCTCCGAGCGCTCGATCGGCGACGTGCCGATCGGTGAGATCGCTGCTCCGCGAATAGGCGATGTCGTGCTCGCGGCAAGCTGTGTCCAGTGGATTGACACCTCTATCGCCTCGCGCGAGCCGTTTCGCGAGACGAGTACCGGGATATCCCGGAGGGACCGCATATCCCGGTATATGTAGTTCGAACGGAAGAGCGTTTATAGTTTTATTGAGCAAACTATTATCGCCGACGACGGCCGTCGCGACGTCCTCCGCGTATCTCATACGCCTCGATCGATCGTCGATGCGATCATCGTCACGCCATTTCGTTCTCCCGGCACAAGCCGCAGTCTTTGATGCACGGCGGCGGACCATCGATGTGCGTGTCTTGCCACGGCTGATTGTGATGCTTGTGACAGAGGCGATAACGTCCGGATCGTCCTTCAGATGTATGGGCAATCTTTCCCACAATCGATCGACGAAATCGCCGTACTTGTCCAGCAGAAGCTTCTTCGGAATGTACTGCAACTGATCGACGCTGAGTCCTAGAATATCGTAATCGTTCACCAATAGAATAAACATGACGAAGCGTCGCGCGCGTAACTTTATCGCGTCACCGTCGATCGGACACATCTAACGGCGCAATCGTTTTTTCCCTCTATATATATGCTCGCGAGGGCGAATCCACGTTCGTTGCTCACGCGCGCGAGTCTGCGCACTGAGGCGCAGGTTCGCTCGCGACAACGAGGAAGAATCGTGCGAGGAAAGAGAGAGAGAAAACGATGCGTTTCGTGCGTCAACCGATCGCGATAAGAGTGTCCAACGTCGACAGTAAGACGAGCTCGATGAACGAGGAACCGCGAAAACACGGTAATGTGTTATTGGGCGCGTTCAAGACGGCAAAGCGACTAACTTGCTCGCCGAGCAAATGCATTGAACAGTACAAATTGCTAGCTGCTTCGTCGCAGCGGCTAGCCTAGCTGCGTAGCATAATTTACCTTTGCTTTCTTAGCTAGCGATTTAGCATTGTAGGTTATGTGTATTTGTTTGTAAATAAGTATGTACAGTTTTTCTTAACTTCTGTTGTAAATTTAATATTATTGTTAACATTTTATTAGATTTTATTAACATGTCGAAGATTCCAAATGCACAAACTATCATTTTAGAAGATGGAAGTCAATACATTATTGATAATAATGTATTATTACTTTCTAATAATGACGGTATGTACATAATGTAAAAATTATATCAATTGAAAATCAGAGAATAGTGCAACATGTATTAAGAGAAACACAAGACACTATGAATAGACATTGTGCTTCCGCTACTGAAATTAATGATGAAAGTAATAATATACATATTTTTATTTATTACCTAAAACTTCTATTATTCTATTTATTACTATTTTTTATAATCTAAAAAATAATTGCAAACGATTTTTTAGATAACTTTTCCTGGAATGAAAAAGCTATCCTTTTAATGCTGGAAGAGTACAAAAAAGGGCTGAACGCTTTAGAAATCCTAAAAGCAAGAAAAAGCAACTTTGGCAAGAAATATCTGACGAGATGACAAAATATGGATATAAAGTTGATGCAGATGTAATAGATAAAAAATTTAGGAATATGAAGACAAGATATTTAATTATAAAAGATAATAATGATAAGAAGAAAACAACAGGAACTGGTAGAATTTCCTGGACTTATTTTGATATTATGTCTGAAATTTTTTTCGATGATAGGACAATAAACCCAAATTTCGTAATAGCATCAACTGTACTTTCGAATAATAATAACAATAATAAGAACGAAACTGAAGAAATTACTACATTTAAAAACATTCCCGAGAATGAAAGTATTGAAGAAAACGACAATATGTCATCTACTTCTACTAGTTCAAGTGTTAGGTCAAATATTTTTAAAAAGAGTATACAAAATAAAAAGATATATGGAAAAAGAAATAAGCCTATAGATAATTACAGAAAAAAATGTATAGACATCGAAGAAGATCGAATTAAAGAATTAAGAAAGTTAAGAGAAGCTGTAGAAAATAATAATACAATACAAAGAGAAAAACTGGAGATGTTAAAGCAGTACTTATTAATTCAACAAGGAAAATCATAATATTTTTTACTCAATAATAATTTGTGATAAAAGTTCTAGTTCTTTATATTTAGTCCTTTTAGTTTTAGTTTCAAATATATATCTAATCAAATATAAATATTAATTTAAAAAGTTTGTGACGATGCTGTCGTCACTGTAAATAATTCTTGTAAATAGTAATATTAAGTTGTTCTCTAGTTCGTTCATGTTCATTTGTTTATCGTGCCAAAACTTATAAAATAAAGACGTCAATTATAGTAAGTTCTCGAGTAAATTCCTTACTCGACGCCTATGGCGCCCACCTGCGATCCCGCCTATGTTTCCCCACCGTCCTACCCCCTCCTCGACGCACGCGAGCATGGGGGGCTCTCGAGCCGTATAAAAGCCGGCTCGCACGACAGACCGGCACCTTATTCCTTTCCAGCTTCCGACCAGCTCTGAATCTCAGGGAATAACCGAGACATCTTGACTCCTGACCGTTCCTGCCGACGGAGACGGGTGTGACCTCTCCGCCGCCTGGGTTTGCCCGGCATTCGGCTTCCTGACCGTTCCTGCCGACGGAGACGGGTGTGACCTCTCCGCCGCCTGGGTTTGCCCGGCATTCGG